CACTTCAGCATACTGAATCGTTGGGCTATGTCGGTTACTCTGGTTCCACGGCGGATATCCTTATTTCTAAGTTTATCACCCAGAGAAACCCCGAGCATAGCTCTCTCCACAGCAGTGAAGGACCACGTCTTAGTTCCATAAGTCGTCACTGGCAACACGTACTGGTTGAACAATCTAGTTTTGAGGTATGTCTAACGAGAAGATGTACCGAGTTGAATCCGTCGATTGACCTCTCGGTCGCAGTTGGACTTACCTAGTCGGCCTATTTGTCCCAGGTAAACATATTCGTTAACAACTTCGAGCTTAGTGCTCTCAACAACTACCGGCATAGGTGTGAGATGGACATTAAACATGATTTTTGTTTTGTCCATGTTCATCTTAACACTTTCACTGTCCGGTTTGCAGACACAATAGTAAGACAATAGCAATGACCTATATGTAGTGCACGGGACAGTGAAAAGGTTAACACCTATCCGTTGGGAGACACTATTGAAGTCATTGAGCATAGGGCTTAGGTCCTCCAGCGCATCTGCCAAAAGGACTATATTGTCGGTAAATCGAAAGTTAGTGGTGTACTCGCCATTGACGTTAATACCGTACCCATTCCAGTCCAGTAGTTTGAAAACGTCTTCCAATGCAGCGGTGAAGAGTTTCGGGAATATTACGACCCCTGTCTTACACCTCTCTGCAGTTGGATAAGTTTGTGTCAAACACTTCAGCACTTCGATATACCGGCAGTCCACTTGACACCGCTGGAAGGACTACAGCACTTTGGACTTTCTCATAGTCCACATACGCAAGACAAAGTGGTAGATTGTACTCTTCGATCTTCTGTACAAATTGCCGAAGGGTATGTATGTGGTCTATGGTGGTAAAGCCTTTTCGGAAACCGGCTTGTTCGAGAGGTTGGAAGTCGTCGGGTCTGCATGCGAGACGATTCGTAATGACTCTTGAAAATAGCACGTAGACGCGGCTGAGAAGGGAAATCGGACTACATTCTTCAAGAGAGCGTTGTCGCCTTTTGTTAATCCACTTATTGTTGCTCCACGCCTCCGGAGTAGTACCTCCACGAAGGAAGGAATTAAAGAGCTTCTGAAGGACTCTAAGTACCAGTTTTCCACCCGCTTTTAGAAGCTCCGCCGTAATGCCATCCTCGCCCGGGGACTTACCGTTTTTAAGGTGTTGGAGAGCCATTTTAATCGCGCTCAGACTGACGTCCAGGATATCATCGGAATAGTGTCAGATAAGACTTGCTCTTGGATCGTCACTCACACTTGCGTGTGGCTTCAACGATAACGTGTACAGCTGCCCATAGAACCTCTCAATCTCACTCAAAATCTCAGGTGTCTCGGAAACGATGCTGCCACATTCGGTCTTCAGCTTCGATAGTTGGCACTTTCTGGCAGACAGATCTCTGGCAAAGACTTTAGAGCCCTGGTTCCACTCGATCGCTTCTTCAATACGAGCAGTATTAAAGTTGCGTAAGTCCCGCCTCATGCATTTGGAGATCTGTCTGTTCAGTTGCCTGTATGCTATCAAATCTACTGAAGACTGGAGCTTCATTTCCCGTCTAACAGGCATGAGATTAAGAGTATGATCGGAGAGTTTTTGTGTTCTTCTGCGGTGGGTCTTGCAAAACTTAGCTCCAACAGTATAGACAGTTTCCACGAGCTTATCATTTATATCGTCCACTGCATTGCAATCTTCTAGGCACTGAAAACGATTTTGTAACTCGAGCTGAAAGGTTTCGAGACTCTGGATTAGAGCACGAAGGGTACAGAGCGTTGACATCATTAGACGACCAGTTCGTTCCCATTCGGTGATCGCTACCAGTTTTCACTCTCACGATCACTGAGACATCACTGAACAGTTGTCCTTTGGTCATCATAATGAAATCAATCTCATTTTTTGTTGAACCGTCGAGGCTCGACCAGGTCCACTTCAAGTGGGGCCGCTTCTGAAAGAAAGAGTTCATCATGAAGAGTCCCTCTTTCTCCATGAAGTCGACCAGCTGCTGGCCCCCTAGGTTCCGTTGCCCTATTCCAAATTTTCCTACCTTCAGCTCACCGTTCTCTCTTGTGCCTAATTTTGCGTTGAAGTTTCCGATTAATACCATATAGTGGGTTTTGGAGAATTGCATGGCTCTTGATATATCCTCATACATTTCCTGTGGATAGTGGATATAATGCTCCTGTTTTATTATTTAATGAATGGTATGAAATAGATTTTAACACGCAAAAGTGTCGCAATTATGTGTATTAATTGTTTGCGCATGTGAAATATTAGTAACAATGACATAAGTGCTTTGATGGTAATGTGTATCCCAAGATAAGGTGTGTTCTTAGGTGTCTCCTAAAAACTTAGTAATGTGACGCGTTATCATATTGTGAAGAAGTTTGAAAGATAATTTCTCTTGACATCGGCAAAAGTACAATAGTACAAGTCCGATTCCAAATAAAAAAAGTTATTTAATTTGACAATAACCTAAACCGTTTATGTTATTGTCAAAAAGACGTTGGTTATCATATCTAGGGATGATTTCATCTGACAAGTTTCAATTTGTTAATCGATTTGAATCGAAGTCTATAGAATCGATCCAGAAAAAACATAGAATTATAAAAGATCGTTTTCTCAAAAATCTTTTAATATAAAAACGATAATTTTTAAATCAGAACCCAAAGTTTATAGATTTTCATCACCTTGCTTATGCTAATAGTCAATGTAAAAATATTTTTAATCTATACTTATAACATAATAAACCGGAAGTTTTTTTGTTTGTTTAAACGCGCTAATCTCTGGAACTACCAGTCCGATTTAAAAAATTATTTTTGTATATTTTAGCCAGATTCATGTGGAATAGTATAGGCTATCTAGCATTAAGCTATATCACTCAGCTAGCCTTAAATATTTTTTTTATAGGATCGAGTGACAAACGAGCACACAGTCCACCTGATAGTAAGTGGTTGCTGTGGCCCATAGACTCTAGACTAGACTAGGCATATCCTCGTTTGCGAATCAAAATGCAGATGCGTTGTCACCCGTGAGGACTAAGTTGGAATGCCTCTTTTCCAGTAAAAACGGTCTTCGGTTCTCTACACTCACCATACGAAACACAGCAGTGTTAAACTGCTATTTTACGCTGGTATTCTGTGAGAGCGTGGTTCTTCCCCGGTCGAGCCGATCCATTCGTGCTGCAACTATACTACTAATATAGCTACAGCATGGCTCTACCTCCCTGTAAGGGAATAGAGAGCAATCTTAGATTATAGTGCACACACTGGTGCACTATAATCCTGCCCTGCGCAGATTTTATCTTCAATAAAGAGTCAAAATGCAGATGCGTTGTCACTCGTGAGGACTAAGATGGAATGCCTCTAAATATGGATATGGATATTTGTTAAGCAAGTCAGAAGAAAACGCACTCCCGAAATTATTTATCCGCGTACGCTGGTGTTATCGTTAGGGATAGGTAAATATAATGTTCTAGAAAAATATAGATCTTTACTCCGTCCAAAAAAAAGTCCGCGATACCATATGTCTATTTCTTATACATAGGCCATAATCAGGTATTCTGTGACAAAAAATATTGAATATTTAAAAGTGATTTATGAGTGTTATTATTAGGCATGGCCTATTTATCCTTACGAACGAAAGTTACTTCATCATCAAGACAACTTTATGAAGATAAACTTTGTTCTTTATACCATGTTATTTAGACGCATAGTTTAAAAGATAATGTAAAATTAAAATAATTCAATACTTGGCTGGGCGCGCGACCGACGTATAAACCCTAACCGCCCGGTGAGGACTGCGAGAATGAAAGCTTCTATGAGCGAGGTTAGTTCAATCATTATAGCTAAAATAAATTAAAAATTAATTGAGTACTTTTATGATAATGATTACTTACATCTTTATTTCTGAACTCTTTCATTTCACGTTGCTATGGTATTTTGAAAATTTAATTGATTAATAATTAATAATTAAGAATTTGATAGCTCAAGAATCATGTCATGCCTACACACTTTTCATGTATCGTGTACGGTTTTCTTTAAAACTGGAAAAACCGCGCTTCGGGACACTTTCTGGGACGTGAGGTGCGGGAGTGGACGCTCAACCGGGAGGGGGAGGGAAAGGGGATAAAAATTTAACTTCGCTCTACATCATACATAATATGCCAACAGATAAAAGTACTCCATTAGTTATGCCAATTTTTCCATCCATTGCTATCAAATAAAATATTTAATTGTAATTATAAAATGCTTTGCGCGCACCTCCGATACGTGATGACGCGGGTGAAACCGCGGGGCACAGCTAGTCCACCAATAAAATAGGTACTGAATATGACTACTTGTTAAACAGGTTTTTCTTACTTAAACGGGAGACCCGTAAAATTAGTAAAAGTAGTTTTATCCAATATGTAGTGTTCGCGTCAATATAAGAAATCATTAAAATACGTAGTCTTTTAATTGTAAAACAAAATAGGTAATTATGATTCCTCATATAAAATATGTCCAGACATAGCCTTACGAACTTAGGTTTATGTGCTTGAAATCAATTGCGAATCTTATAAGTATGGTATGGAGACAAAATATATGAAATCTTGATTTTTTTGGTTCTGCGATAATTATGTGAGATTTATTGGTTCGATCCATCCTTTGAGATCGATTAAAGAGATTGACTTCTAATCGCCGAACCTTATTTGACATTAGGGATTTAAATTTATTATCGACGATATATACGATTTAAATATCGACGATATATATCGATATTTTTATTTAAAAATATCTATATTTCGATATTTTTGCCCAAGCCTATTTGACATCATGCACAATACGTCAGATTTGGTGGTGTGATTTTTTGAACCAGAATTATGTAAAAGCCCTGTACTCTTGGTGTAATCTGTAAATAACTTTGATAGAAAGTGTTCAGTATATTAGTAGTTAGAAATTCGAAACAAGTAGTAAAAGGAACGTTCAATTTATTTGTATTAATTAACTAAAATGACGCAGAAAAATAAGGATGCTATCGAAGACGATTATTCGGCAAAGTTGGATATGTGTCTTACAGACGGAATTATCAAAACTGGTAAGAAACCAAAGCCAGATATAATACTACAAACGATTTTGTAGTCCAAACATTTATGATGCAAGGATCTTGCTTGTTCGTAGTTACGTATAGTTTTCTTGGTGGTAATTCACAAGTCAATTACTGAATATAGGCTTCCCCCAAGGAATGCCCCAAAACACGGCCCTGAGCCAAAATATGCCCTTTGACTTTCTGCATATTGTACCAGATTTTAACTTCATCTAGTGGGGATTGGCCTTTTCCTTCACTTACAGGTATGACATGATGTTGCCACTCAAGTTTTCCTTCTCATTGGTTTTGGGTTCGTAAAGCTATATAGCCAGCCCATTGCCACTTCAGTTTATTAATATGTTGGGGTATGTTTACTCGGATAATGAGGATACTGGTTATATTCATTATAAAATCTCATAGCCTTCTTCATAGCTTGCCAAGCAACCTTAAGATTCATCATACAGCTTGCATAGGAGGACCATGTCTGAGATCAATTTGTCATTACTTGCAATACATTAGTTCTACACTGTTATTTTCAAGTTTTGAGAAAATTTGCATTAGTGACATGTAAATCACAATTTTTGAATGAAATCTAGTTAATTTAGATTTTTTTTTTGGATTAAAGTGCACTCTTCCATAGTTGCCTTGCTTGGCAGTAGTGGATAAACTTACATATCCACTACAAGGTTAGTTTCGAGAATATAGGAGATAATAAAGTCGGGAGCATTTAATGTAATCAAATTTCAAATATCAAAGTCATGTGAGTTGAGTTATTAGTTGAGTTTGAGTGTGATTTATGTATTTCTAATGTCTACTTTATTCTGTTATTATAACTTTTCTTAAACATACAAAACCAGGCAGTGAACTGCTGTCATTTGGTTTTATTTTACATTGAAGTTTATGCATACCTGTAAAACAAATTATCATGACTAACCGAAATAACAATAAAATTTAATCTGAAATTAATAAATAAAAAATATCTAATTTTATATTATGTACTGAACAGATTTAATGTATTTAATAGTTAATGAATACTAAATAATAGGTACCCAAATAAATTAATAGATTTAGTGATAAAAGTGCTTTTAGCATACGGGAGGCCTATTGAGTATTTAATTTAAAATATTTTTTTTAAAGACTACGTGTGACAAATGAGCACACAGTTCACCTGATGGTAAGTGGATGCCGTGGCCCATAGACATCTACATTTATCCTCAATTAAGAATCCTCTATCATCCCTCTTTGCCTTCATTTATATCTTTTCAAGTATATGTGAGTTTTCAGTAAAATGCAGGTGTTATGATTGTCACACCACAATAAACCTTTTCAACAAATTTAACCATGGTTAAAAAATGAATGGTTTTAGAGTAATAAGGGTATGTTTTGAAGTCAATAATATTTTTTTCTTTATGATAAATACCGCAGGTGTATTATGACTGCAGAACAATAGGTCTGCCCAACCTGGGAAGGAGCACACGCTTACAGAGTATCACCATAAAATATTACCATTTTAATGTACCTCATACAGAAAGATGGAATCCAATAAAAATTAACTGTATCCTAAGTAAGTTTTTAAGTAAGATAGTAGGGTTACTGATAATTCGACGTATTCCCGCTAAGGCGTGATAGTTGGGGTCATAACCTATCAAATGAACCATAAAATGCATAATGCAAATGTGGACCAATTTCGAGATATTTAGGTTTAATTATTTTTTTCAAAAATCCCAAAAGTCTGGTGTTAAAAATTTCTAAAAAAAAAAACTTACAGGTGTATTATTTTCATTTTATTATTTTTACTTAATGAAAACCTGGATACTTATTTATCAATACTACAGTGTGCCAAAAGTCTCATCATTTTCGAAGTAACGCTACTAAAAGTACAACTTTTTCCAAACAGAAAATAAGTAATTAAAAATAAAAATGATTTTGTGAAAAATAATTGTATGTTATCAATTGTGCAAATCATGTTAAAAACATCCCTATTTATCTAGCTACCTAATGAAGTATCAACTTTGTAGTTTGCTTATGTAGAAACAGAAAAAAAAATTAAAGAATGAGGTCAGGTAGTCGAGTTCTAAGCAGACAAAAGAATTTCTGTTTTATTTTTAACCAATATTAATTAAGGAAATGAAACAAAGCATTTGATTGAAATTAGCTTTATTTATTTTAACACGATTTACAAATTTTGCTCAATATGGGAGCCCCTATTCCGTATACAGACACGCATTCGTTTTCTTAATTCGCTTTTAATAACGTTTGAGGTTAATGTTCGTCTTATGTCGTTTGTCGCGTTGATAATGCGGTCTCTCAGTTGATCAAGGGTCGGCACTGGCACATTGTCGCAGTACACGATGCTCTTCATGTGCCCCCAGACATAATAATCCATCGGTGTTATGTCAGGACTCCTTGCTGGCCATGGAATTGGTCCTCCTCTGCCAATCCACCGATGTCGATAATTTTCGTCCAGCCATCGTCGCACAGTTACACGACAGTGCGCAGGACACCCATCATGTTGATACCACATGTTTTGCCTTGTGGCGAGAGGAATATCGTGTAACAATCCGGATAAGTCCTCCCTTAAAAATGTTTCATAATTTTCGCCGTTTAAATAGTTTGGCAGAAAATAAGGCCCAATTAAATTGTCGTTAATAATCCCCATCCAAACATTTAGTGAAAATCTTCTTTGTGATTTAGAAGGTCTCTTTTTTCCAGGATTTCTTTGCTCTTTTGGAGCCCAAAAATGTAAATTATGGTAATTTGTAATACCGTCTTGATCGAACTTCGACTCATCAGTCCACAATATTTTTCTAAAAAACATTGGATCTTCTGCATCTGCGTTCAACATAAATCTACAAAAATCCAATCTTCTAACTGGATCTCCTTCTTCCATCACATGCACTGGTGTGTAGTGGTACGGATAAAGCCCCGCAGTATGCACAGTAGACCAGACCTTCCACTGCGATACACCTAAGCGACGAGCAACTATGTTCGTGGAAGTGGTTGGATCTTCTTGAAATTTACTCAAAATTTCTTCATCTTCCGCACGCGGTATACGGGGTATGCCACGTGGCCTGCCAGCATCACGTTGTTGCCTTTGAACATTTCCAGTCCCTCGTACTCTACGATACACTGCACTAAACACTGTGACATGGGGTGGTCGGCGATTAGGGTAGCGCTGTAGGTATTCACGGCGAGCAGCTGCAGCGTCACCGTCACAATATCCATAGAGATAAAAGATATCTGCGTATACCTCGTTGGAAAATGATTGCCTTGCATGATCTCCGCGTCTTGGTGGTTCCGCCGCCATAAAACTTTGAAACTCAACTTCTTTAAGTGTAACTGGGAGGGATATGCGCGCGTGTGTACGATGCCTGTAATACTGATGACTGATTGAACAGTTTCTTCTTGTTTAACTTGTTTCTAATTTCACACTAAATGTAAACAATAGCGTAAGTTCAAACGCACAATCTTTTACGAGCATTCCCGCAGCTGTTGATAAGGTTCCGAGAAGCGATTATTTGGGATTACCCAAAACATTGCTACTCGGAACTTGTCTACCTGACCCCTTTTTTTCAAGTTTTTTCTGTACTATTTAAGTTACAAGCTAAATTGATACTTCGTTGGGTAGCTAGATAAGTAGGGATGTTTTTAACATGATTTGCACAATTGGTCACATACAATTATTTTTCACAAAATCATTTTTATTTTTAATTACTTATCTTCTGTTTGGAAAAAGTTGTACTTTTAGTAGCGTTACTTCGAAAATGATGAGACTTTTGGCACACTGTAGTATTGATAAATAAGTATCCAGGTTTTCATTAAATAAAAATAATAAAATGAAAATAATACAGCTGTAAGTTTTTTTTTTAGAAATTTTTAACACCAGACTTTTGGGATTTTCGAAAAAAATAATTAAACCTAAATATCTCGAAATTGGTCCACATTTGCATCATGCATTTTATGGTTCATTTGATAGGTTATGACCCCAACTATCACGCCTTGGCGGGAATACGTCGAATTACCAGTAACCCTGTATATAGTATATATAATATGTATGGTATATATAGTAGGGCTGGCAACCCTAGCCACAGCATCCACTTACCATCTGGTGGACTAATGTACACTTATTTATTATGAAAAATATTTAAACTATTTACACAATTATATTTTCAGGCAGTGGTGTTGCCCTTGGAGCACTATCTTCATTGCTATTCCTAGGTCGACGGAGATGGCCAATTATTGCGGGCATGGGAATGGGTATAGGGCTAGCATATGCAAACTGTGAAAATGACTTAAATCCCAAGAAGAAACACAATGTATAGAAGTTGTTCATAATCAGGTAAAGTTTTATTGAGAGTAAAGTATAGTAAGCCTGATCACACAAGCCTCTCGAAAATTAAGGGGATAATATAGATTGAAGTTATCCACTAAACTACTACAGACAAAGTTGACACATTTTCTATTACCACAAATTATGATTTAAATATCTTGAATTATTTATTATTATGTAGTTAAAAATTTTGGACACATTTTCTCATGGTATTTCTTTGGATGTAATCAACACTTGAAAATGAAAGTCGCAAATAACAATTTCAAACACTTCATGCCATGTGTGTTATGCTGTGCACAGGGATATATACAGTGTTATTTTTCAAAGAGCAGCCAAATTTTATATTTAAGTAATTTATAATTCAAATATATAAATAACTAGCTGTTCCCCGTGACTTCGCCCGCGTGTTATTTGAGGTTTTCATTTTTTTTCGCGGAACCATAATTATTTTTCTTAAATAAAAGTAGCCTAAGTTATTCCTTGTGACATCAGCTATCTGCCAGTGAAAATTCCGTCAAAATTGGTCCAGCCTTTTCATAGATTAGCTGGAACAAACAGACAGACAGACAAAAACTTTAAAAATTGTATTTTTGTTATTAGTACCGTATATACTTTCATATGAATTTAGTAAAAAGCTGTAATTTTCACATTACAAATGATATACCAATATAGTTTTTGAAAAAACGAGAAAACAAGGCTTCTAGTTTTATTTAAATTATCCCAAATTGAATGTGATCTATGGACAAGAACTACGCGAACGTGATTAAATTCACACAATAAGTCTTGTGTGTGATTAAATTCACGATTTCGTTTCTCAAGTTTTTACTTACTGTTTACTTTCTTAGTGACACACTTTCTACTAATGCTTAAGTTAATAACTACACAATGCGAATTATGATTACAATGTTCCCCTCACACTTTTAACGGGCTTAGGATTGTCATAATAATAATATTTTTGCTTATCAAGGAAGTAACCGACGACTGTCATTATTATGGCGTATTTAAAAATTAACACTCACGTACGTTAATTTCTTGCCGCGATATACTCACTTTCGTATTAATCTTTGCCACGTAAACTTTCATTGCTTACAATATAATACCGCTCCATTTCATCGTTTCATAATATTCGCGGTTTGAATATTTCGTTCCGTCATTGGTAACAAAGCGACATTACTGCTTACGAAAATTTAAAAATAGCAGTAGCACATTATTTGTTCGTGTAATAAGGTCACGGTCAACACTATCGGAATCGGATGTTGGTAGATATCTAGCGGTGTAAAGGGAAAGGCGCGGGAAGACGCGAACAAAGGTACCTTAATTTTGTAATCGAGTGACCCTTACGAATGTGTGCGTGCGTAGTAAAATAGTAGGCATTAAATATTTATGAATGACAATCAGTTAAAATAACGCATGACCACGCATTCTGAATTTGATAGACAAAAGGAATGGAATGTTTAAGATTTTTTTAATTAATGTTTTTTCTCGATTCGCCTCTATTACTTATTCTGAATCTTCTTTGCAAATTTGGCCGTATATTGCAAAATAACACCGTATATACGAGGGTGATTCAAAAGTATTGATAATCTATTATTATTATTGGTTAAATTTTTTTAAACTATAATCACCATGTTCATTATTATTACTTATGAATTGGTGGGTGGTACTTACCCAGATATCCTCTTAAGGAGAATAGTGCCATCTAAAACCCTATCCTGGGTTATATAGTAGATCTAAAAGATCATAAAATGTCAGGTTTCCAGGCAATGTGAGCGGTCTTCACAATTATTTTCTTTATTGCTAAGCGTATGGTCAATCTGTATATTAAATTGTGATTTACCAATTTCATTGATGCTGGTAGGATCATAATTGGGTTATTTTTGCTTTAAGTAATTTAAGGCAAGCATCCATTCTTGTTTCGTATGTATGATGAGTGTAGAGAACTGGACTTTATAGTGGAAGTGGCAAATAATAATCAAAAAAGTTATTCCATTTTAGTCCTCAGGGCTGACAACTTATCTGCATTAATTACTTAATTGAAAATAGATGTAGGTGTCTATGGACCACAATATCCTACTATCGTCAGGTGGACTGTGTGCTCAATTGCACCCTTACTTATATAAAAAGCTGTTTTAATTGAAATTTTATATATCACAAGAATTATTTTCGAACTTTGATTTTCAGGTAAGGGCTTCAAGTAAACAGAATCATGTGGAACAACCTAAGGGATACATACAGATCATTATGGACAACTCCTGTAGACAATTTGTTTAGTTAAATACTGTTGTTTTGTGTTATTGTACAAATAATTATTTAATTCATATAAAAAACACGCATTTTTATTAAACTCTTTTCATTTTGTAGCTTCTTCAGGCATTTCATTAAAACACGTAAGGTTCAAAGAACAATATTTAATATTGTACAAATCGATACTGGAATAAAGGATTCAGATTTAATAATTTGTTCTACTAGAAATTGATATAATTATAGTAAAGTTTATTAAATAATTTTATGAAATATAGAGAGAATATAAACAACCCATATACATACACCTAAATCGGTGATAATTTAACAATAATACATGACAACACAGGTCCACAAATTAAACAACACGTACATCGCAATAACAGATTAAAAAGTAATATAGCTATCTATGACAGTATGCATATATTATATGTATGTAAAAATATTCATACATCATGGCATTACAGACATTTTGGGGCGAAAATGCAATTAGCACGATGTAAAACGAATTAAAATATACTTCACAAATTCCGAGATCGTGCTACAACCGAAGCAAAGTGGGATCATTAATTATACAGGTTACTGGTCGACAATGGTGTGAAATACCCGACAACAGTAGTCAAATACATTGACACAATGACTACACAATTGTCCCACTCCAAAAGTTTGAACGAACCGTTTTCGTTAGATTTACGAGACAGATCTGAGACAACCTGTGATTGTGTTCAAACAATGGCTTATATTAAGCAAAAAAAAAAAAACCTGCAATTGCACTGTCCAACGTTTAAGGCCACTTTTCCATCTTATATACGTTATGTGTAGTGTCAGTTCAATCTATCATTTTGTTAACGAGAAATAAAAATAAACGTAAGTCAGCCAAGCGAACTGTGATCTGGCAAGTATATGCAAGTTGTCGAACTTGTTAAAACTTGTGATGTCGAATTTACTCATTTGTAACACTGGTTAATTTTTAGTGCAATATAATATGTAATTGATGGAATATCTTCTGCCATTAAAATTGTAATATTAATTTTATTTACACAGAGTGCCGAACAAATGATTCGGTGATGCACTCTGATACACTTTGAGAGCTGGTGAAAGACAGATAGAGAAATAGATTCAATAGCAGTGAACTAATTCATTGCATCTTTATTTCGCTAACTACCCACGAATAGTCTTAATCGTCATTGAATTCTTGAATCACTCCAGTGTTGGAATGCTGGATGATCGTGCAGTGTTGGCGACTTACTAGATTATGAAACAAAGGACCCACGAAGTCCTTAGCTCTTTACGCTAATACAATTTCTTCATATAAATACAACTACGTTATTAACACTAAATTACATTTGGTAAAAAATTTGACTAGCAACACATTGTAACGTCATTTTATAACTCAACATTTCTGTAAATCACTTTTCGTAGCATATTCTAACATTAGCTACAATAATTTAATACTTCGAGAATACTTACCATTAGATATTATAGACTGAAGCTACACTGTTCCTTTTATGCTGATAAATTAATTTCACCCCTGCCTCCAATTAAATTCGATTTCTTAAGCTGAATTTACACAGTGTATTACAGTTTTTTAAATGACCCAAGCGTTGACCTTTATAACTTTATTTTTTATATAATAATAAGTAAGTGAAGTAAGAATGTGAATATGTTGTAAAATTTAAAAAACGATATTTCCAAGTTGTAGCAAAAAGGAAATGTCAACTTTTTACATGATTTTAAAAGTAAGTCCTAAAAAAGGTAGTTATTTAATAATTATATTCCCTTTCCAAGTGGCGTTACTGACTTGGAGACCCACGAGCTAGTGCCCAAAACATAATAAATAATATTATCTACTTCGAAAAAAAGTTCGCCATCTCTGCATTAAAACATGGCATGCGTTGTTTTGTTGCATTCACTGCGAAGTATGCAGCATGGAGCAAACTTATTTATATCTTCGATCAACATTATTGATGTACATTTGACTTGCGACATTTAGACTCATGACACGTGGTGTTTGTCACATAAAATGGCCGCAAGCAAAGATTATAATCACTAGTTTTTAGCCGCAATGTTACAAGTTACCTCAGTGGAAATCCGGCTTAATGTTTGCAATATTAAAGTATGGTCAAGGCTATTAGTGTAATACTAAGGCCATGTATTCATTAGACAACAGTGAGGGTATCCATGACGTTTCTGCCACCAGGGCGGCGCCACTTTGGAATGCGGTGGAATATTTGACAGATTTTATAGCGGGGTGAAGTTAATTTGTTAGAAAAATGAATGATTCTTTCGGAAATTTTAGTTATATTTTGTATTAATTCGATTAGAAATGGATAAACCAAACTACGAATATTGTCGAAAAGTTAGGAAATTAAAAAATGTTGGAAATGTGTAAAAAAGTAAAAAACACAGCACTGAATCACTGTTTAGTGTATACACTAAGAAATCGAAAAACTTTTATTTAAAACACAACTTTTTTCAGTAATGCTTTGCGATCATTTCCGTGGTAAATAAAATCACTTTAGTACCAACTGATTAGCGCGCAAATTGATTAGCCCTTATTGATGCAAAACACATGACGCTCATTTCATCTCGTTTTACGATTCAATATCCACTTTAAACCATCATTTAAACAATACAGAAGCTGCAGTCCGCCGGCAGTCAATTTCCCGCCAAAACTTTTCCTAAGTGTTAATGAATACATTGCCTCATACAATTTTATATTGGATAGCATTACTGTAAAAATGTATTGCGCGTCTTAAATTAAAAATAGCCCAAAATTATTTGAAATTTAATTTTTGATTTTAAAAGTTCAGTGTAGTTTCAGTCTTAGTTTAAAATTCCTATTAATAAAAGTTTCTGTAATGAACACTTGTAAATATACTGGCAAGCTAAACTTAAAGCTTTTGTGGCAACAACAACATGATTTATTTGTTTATTAATTTTAAACTTCATTATAAAAAAATAACCAGTTGTTTTCATTTCCTTCGCATTACAGCTGCACTAAGCGAACAATTATTTTTTTGTGACAAACAATCTCATTACATAATGTAGTTTATAATTAGTCTTAGGTTCAAACTGGAATCTGTTTGCATGCATGATGCACTCAATTCTGGCTACATTGTGTACTTTTAAGAATATTTTATTGCATGATATCTGCTAAAATTGGAAAATAAAAAAATTATAATAGCAATCATACCATAATGCCAAACCACGTTATTTTATTCACAAAACTAAAAGAAAGTGTTGTGTACATATAAAGTGAGTGCCAATATATTAACAACGAAATGTTTTCGATTATTACTTAACTGATGTATAAATTGGTAATACTTTACATTCTATTTCTTATTTATAATGTTATTTTTTTATCCGTCTCAAATATAACGAAAATCATCAAAGGTTGTCCCATTATTTTTAAACTGTTTTTTTTTGTGTGGTATGGTACAAAGTGCTTTTCATTTATTTGGAGATGCTATTTCACGTATTTCAATAAGAAGCCCAACATAATATATTTTCACTACGCTAGTTCCGTAAAAAGGCGGTGTTATGGCTTAGGGCTTAGGCACTGATATTTATACACTAGTATCATTTTATACATAATCTTAATTTTAAGGTGTAGAAGTGAATTTCTAGCTAAGATTTGAGTAAAGTGCAGCAAGGATAATTATTCGCGTTAAGCAAAATTCGTTTATTAATTTAAATTAATTTATTATAGCTTTCTTACACCGTATATTTTTGCTTTATAATATCTCAATCATTCTGAAAAGGGAGAGGGGAAAGGTTATGTTGCTATTTCATTAGCAAAACACCTTTAATTAATTTAAAAATGAACATTCTATAAAATAACCCATTTAATATCACCGAAAGTTTTCTTTAAAATATATAATATTATCTCACAGAACAAGGAAATTAATACTTAATTTTCATTTATATTATCTGAAAAAACGCATAGAGCAGAGTAAAACTGCATTAACCATTCTTGCTTTTAAAAAATGTCTAAAGATGCATCTATTAATTATAATAAAGTTATAGTACCTATATGAAAAGTCGAATACTTCAATTAAACATTTTTCGACGAATTCTTCATGAATTGCCAGTCAATTTGAACAGGTACTATGGAATTCGCGAATTTATTTGTTGTTCTAATTTCAAATATCTGATTTAAAATATTTATTAAGACGCTACTGTTGACGCTACCCTGATTTAAAAAGAGATTTTTTAGAATAAGAAAATTACGTCCCTATATTTTTTACGTAAATAATACGGCAGAATCGATAATGTGTGTGGTTCATTTGGTTCAGTGGTTCTTAACCTTTTATGTCCTGAAACCGCATCTGCACACATACTCCATCACTTTTTTTATATGTGAAAGAATTGTATGATGCTTTCACGGACTACTTTGGACGACCTTAGGGACCACCAGTAGTCCACGGAATACCGATCAAGAATCACTGATTTAGTTGAAGTAAATAATATATTTGGACCGCACGTTTCTTCTATGTAAATTATTATATATAAGTTGCACCTTTAATTATAAACGACTTAGAGATGTTGTACCAATCACTTTTTAATTTTAAACTATAAAGCCCACTTCGGAGCACTATTACAAAAAATACTGTAAAATTGAAAGAATGTAACAATTATTATGGGTCGAATATATTTCCTTTGAACACAAACTTTTCACCGAAGATTAAATAGATTTTCTTATACTAAATAACTCGTGAGAACCGTTACCACTACTTAACGAATAGATTTGTTAAAAACACAATAGAATATTGAATTACCCGATTAAATATTTCGAGCTCACTAAACATCCCAATATAGGTTACATAGACAAAACAATTACGTTATAATAAACCAGTTTTTAACATTAAGAATTATACAAATTCGGCAGTTTATCTCAATAAATTAGTTTCTATTATCACACAAAAGTTAAAAATGTATTTAGTCTGTGAAAACAGATTAAAATTAAGAACAACCATAAACACCGATGACCCTGGAACTTAAATAAATACGTGTACATAATACAGGTGTGATAAAAACCATCACTGTAATACCAACATAAAAAAGAGATCACCATAGAGTGTCAATGTGAAGTTTGAAGGAGAATGGAGTCTACGGTGCGTTCACTTTGAAGTCATATCGGGCCAGTAGTTGATGTAGTAACGATGAGTGCTGCCTTCAAACAGCCGGTCCAGCCAGTTTGGAAGCCCGTCTAGGAGATTTTCTGCAATTTTTAGCAATATCTATATTTCTGTCCAGAATATACACAAGTCATCATAAAATAAATGGCGCTCTTGTACAAACTCTTCATGATGATGTATCCTCTCCGTTGGTTGTGTGTGTACATAAATTGTCAAATAAATAAACAAAGAAAATAAAAATATAATTCGTTTTGACAGAGTAACATCAGATTGTTATCTGAAGTTGTCAACTCTCAATTATCTAAAATAGTAATTAGTCTAAGCAAATGGATGTCTGTTCTTCTTTTTCTTGATATCCACGAAAAAAATATTTACGAAGAAGTAGAAGCATTCACAGTTAGTGTAAAGTTTAGAAGTTTTGTAAGTAAAAGAACATACAACAAACAGAATAGGTCCGAGGTGCGAGCCCCGTGAAACTCCGGAGGCAGGGTGAATATCCCTAGATGTAAAGCCATTCACTACTACTCGCTGTATACGACTACTAAGTAAGATGAGAACCAGTTAAAAATTGGCCCATGTATGCCAAAAGTTTTGTTAAGTTTACGTATTAGTAATGAGTGATTCACCTTGTCGAACGCTTTACTAAAGTCGGTATAAATTTCGTCTACTTCATTACCCGAGCTCATACTTGTAATTATTCTATCCACAAGTGTTAAAAGGTTCTTTGATGTAGAAGGTTTCTTTAAAAAACCGTGTTGTTGTTCTGCCACAGTTTGCTGTATGTGCCACGATAAACAAGGGCATACTAATGATTCAAAAACTTTGGCAAGAACTGGGAGAATACTAATGGGTAATAGTTATTTACATTAAACATTTTGCTCAATATGAGCCCCTTGGTTGCGGATACACGTCCTGATTCTTTTCCTAACTTCGGTTTTCGTTATTTTTGAAGATATTGTAGCCCTAATCTGCTCTGCCGCATTTAAGATACGCCTTCGAAGTTCTTCAAAAGAATTCACTAGGTCACGTAAACTAAGTCCTTCATGTGACCCCAAACGTAGAAGTCTATATTCACAGTTAGTATAAAAGTAGTAGCATTCACTGTAAGTGTAAAGTAGAAGCATTCGAAGTTAGTACAAAAGGAGTAGCATTCACTCAAGTAGAAGCATTCACAGTTAGTGTTCTTTTTTTTTCTTTTCCTTTTTTAAAGAAAAAAAGTGTTAAGTAGAAGCATTCACATATAGTGTTAAGTAGAAACATTCACAGTCAGTACAAAAGTAGTAGCATTCACTGTAAGTGTAAAGTAGAAGCATTCACAGTTAGTTTTAAGTAGAAGCATTCACAGTTAGTGTAAAGTAGAAGCATTCACAGTCAGTGCAATAGGAGTAGCATTCACTGTAAGTGTAAAGTTGAAGCATTCACATTTAGTGCAAAAGTAGTAGCGTGCAGTATAATTATACTGCACGCTTATACGCACTTTACACTTGTAATGTAGAAGTTGAAGAATAGTGGCATTCACAATTAGACTTGCTTTAACAATTAAAGCAAGAGTCAGAGCGAACAGTAAGTAAAAATGTCTCAAAGGTGTGGGATTTTTGAAGTACCTTGTAGCAGTACTGGCGGATCGGGCGCTTCATCTGCTGAAGAAGAATCTGGTTCAGTTTGGAAGCCGATGAAGGCGCCCGCCTCAGGGTCGCCCGCCCAGCCGCCGAGAGACCGCGTCATGCGGCTCATGCGCTGCCACACAAAAATAAATATTTTAGGGTATTACATAAACGGTCAGTTGATTAAAAAGATTTTCATCTAATCAAAAATATATTTTGTCAGCAAACAAATTGAATAGAGATGCTTCTAGTGATCGGAAAAAATAACTAAATTGGTTAGAAAGTAATGTGATATTAGGCATTATTAGTAAAAGGATAGCAAATCGCAATTATTGAAATAAAACTAGAAAACATAACCTAACCAATTTTATAATCTAAATTTTGTATTATATAGGACTGTTTTTTTGCAAACATCTACATTATCAAACTGACCAAATAGCTAATTAGTTTCTAATAAACTGCCAGCTCATGAGGTACCTTGAGGATCACCAGCTGATTAGTGACCACCACTACGGTTTTCGTCGAGGTCGATCAGCTGGTGATCTTCTAGTCTATCTGACTCACAGATGGGCGGAGGCAGTAGAGTCCAAGGGGGAGAGGCATTGGCCGTTAGTTCGGACATAGCGAAGGCCTTCGATCGGGTCTGGCACAAAGCGCTTCTTTCGAAGCTTCCTTCCTATGGGCTTCCCGAGAAATTGTGCAAATGGATCACCAGTTTCCTTGCTGATCGGAGCATCAAGGTCGTAGTAGACGGTGCATGCTCTGATTTGAAGCCTATCAACGCTGGTGTTCCACAAGGCTGCGTGCTATCACCAAAGCTGTTTCTCCTGCATATCAATGATATGTTGCTAACTGGTAGCATTCATTGCTATGCAGACGACAGCACTGGTGATGCCTTATATACCGGCCGTGACAATATTTCTCGGGAAAACGTCGCTGAGTACCGGGACAAACTTGTGTCTGAAGTCAAGTCTTTGCTTAACAAAGTCTCGGATTGGGGCCGACTAAATCTAGTCCAGTTCAATCCCCAGAAGACACAAGTTTGCGCGTTTACCGCTAAAAAGAACCCCTTTGTCGTATCTCCTGTTTCAAGGCACTCCCCTTGCTGCCTCAACTAGTATCGGAATCTTTGGCGTCGACATATCGAATAGTGTGCAGTTTCGTGGTCACTTGGAAGGGAAGGCCAAATTGGCATCTAAAAAGCTTGGCGTGCTCAGCAGAGCGAGACAGTATTTCATGCCGGCACATCGCTTGCAACTTTACAAAGCGCAAGTTCGGCCCCACATGGAATACTGTTCTCATCTCTGGGCCGGGGCACCCCAGTGCCAGCTCCTTCCACTTGACCGCATCCAGCGCATAGCGGTTCGAATCGTCGACGACCGAGTTCCTTCTGATCGGCTCGATACACTGGCACTGCGTAGAGATGTTGCATCTCTTTGCGTATTTTATCGCATCTATCACGGGGAGTGCTCTGAGGAATTGTTCGGCCTAATTCCAGCTGCTCAATTTCACCATCGTACATCGCGACAAAACTCGCGTTACCATCCATACCATCTGGATGATTGGCGGTGCACCACTGTGCGATGTAGAAGAAGTTTTCTCCCTTTTTTTTTTACGGGGGGAAATCCTCATGGACTACCTCCGCCTGGGGAAAGGCGGAGGGGCGTGCCGGACTCTTACCGGCTAAAACCACCCCGGTGTCTCCTCACACGTGCGCGTGGGGCCGCGGGAATCCAAATTCTTCCGCAGCCCCACACTAGTGCTGGCCCGGTCCGTCCAGGCCTCGTCTCCTGCACGGGGTAGTGAGGTGTTAAACTACCCCGTGTATCGCCTCAGGGGCGCGCACCGACACCCGCGCGCGCCTCCGCCTCGGGTCCATCGAGTAGGGGTGGCGGGGGCTTCCCCAAGTCCCTCGCCCCTGGAACCATTTATGGGGGCCGGAAAAGGGCGTTGTCCGCCCTTCTCCTGCGCCCGGTGCGCCTTCTGCGGCCAGGGAAGGGAGTCGAGATCTCCCTTTCCCGTTCCGCAGTTTCCTTCTGCGACATCACGTCCTCGCAGAAGGACACCACTGCATCCCACGACTCTGCGCTACCGCCCATCTTCTGCACTAAGGCCGGCAGCGACAGATCGCCTCCTACTTTATTTGTGAGGACACGGCGCTGCTCCTCCCAAGCTACACACTCGGCGAGCGTGTGTTGCGCCGTGTCCTCCCCGCAATGGACGCAGTGGTGGCACCGAGCGTCCGGCTCCCTGTCTATGCGGCGCAGGTACTTGCCGAAGCAGCCATGCCCCGACAGCACCTGCGTCACCCTAAACGACAGGGAGCCGTGCCTTCTCCCGAGCCAGTCGTCGAGTACTGGCCGGATCGCCTCGACGGTAGCGAGGCCGGCGGTAGGGCGCAGAAGCCTTTGCCGCCATTCCGCCACCAAGACCTGACAGAGCTCCTCTCGGCGCAGCGCGATCTGCCGCTGCACCGGCCTCGAGCCCCGTGCCCGCTCTTCCTCGCGCCATCAATATAATGACGCGAGTACTTTCGCCTCTAGGTCCCAGGGCGGGGATCCGGCCAGGACGCAAGCCGCCTCGTAGGAAATCGTGCGATACCCGCGGGCGACTCTGACGGCCATCGCCCTCTGCGGTTTACGCAGAATGGCGAGAGTGCTGGCCGTCATGTCCATCGCCCACACAGGGGCCCCATACAGGGCCATGGACCGCACGATTCCCACGTACAACCGCCTACAGGCGGCGCTCGGGCCCCCCAAGTTGGGAAGCAACGTTGATAGCGCGCCCGCTGCACCCATCAGCTTGGGCGCCAGCCGCCGGAAGTGGGGTCCGAATTCCCATCGGCTGTCGAGCACCAATCCCAGATACTTCATGGTAGACTCGACAGCTATCCGGGCCCCGCTGACCACGATGTGTGAACCCGGCGGCGGCGCGCGTCGAGGGCCATGGAACACCATGGCCTCCGACTTGTTTAGGGCCACCTCCAGGCCCAGGCGCCGGATGCGGTTCACCACTTGTGACACCGCAGCCGTGGCAACCAACGCTGCTTCCCTGTGTGAACTCCCCCGGGCAGTGACGAGCGTGTCGTCCGCATAACACGTCAAGTCGGCGCCCGACGGGAGTTCACCTCTCAGCACCCAGTCGTAGCCGATGTTCCACAGGAGCGGTCCCAAGACCGATCCCTGCGGAACACCGCACGACATGACGCGCCGACCAGCGCCGTCACGTCCCCAATAGGTAACGCATCTCTCCTCAAGGTAAGCCCCTATTGTGCGGCGGAGGTAGGGAGGCACGCGATGGTAATTCAGCGCCTCCCGAATACAACTCCAGGGTAGGGTGTTGAAGGCGTTGGAGATGTCTAAGGACACCGCCAGCACCACCCCACCCCGGGATACTGTCTCCTCCGCCAGGGCCCTCACGCGCGTAATAGCGTCTATGGTGGAGCGCCCGCGACGAAAACCAAACTGGTTCTCGTCCAGGTCCGGCCCTTCTCTGCACAAGTGGCTGACGAGGCGATCTGCGATGATGCGCTCAAGAAGTTTGCCCGCCTCGTCGAGCAGCACTATGGGCCGGTACGCGGACGGTGAGTCCGCGGGGCGCCCCTCCTTCCTGAGCAGGACCAGCCTCCCCTCCTTCCACACACTGGGAAACTGACCCTGCTCGAGACATGCCGTGAAGAGCCCTCTCAGCTGGGGCTCTAGCTCCTTCAGAGCCAGGACGAGAGCTCGACCAGGAACTCCATCGGGTCCGGGCGCTGTGTTCTTAGCCCGGAGTCGCGACACGGCCGCTCTCGTCTCTGTTTGCGTCACCTCGGGGACATCGGTGCTCTCCTCTTCTGGAGAGTCTGTGGCTGAGGGCGAAGCCATCGCCGGGGGAACGTGTCCCACTCGCTCAGGGAAGAGAGCCCATACCACCGCCTCTAGCAACTGGGGTTGCATCGTTTGTGTTAGTGGAGGCGCCCAGGGTCGCAACTTGCCCCGTACCCAACGGTAGGGGCGCCCCCACGGATCCCGATCTAGGGATCCCAGCAGCTCTTCCCTGGCACGCGACTTTGAGTCGCCGATGGCCAGCCACAGAGTCTCCTTAGACGCGCGGTACACCTCATACAGCGCGTCCTACTCGGCGGGATCCCGTCGACGCCGCCTCCGGTATCGGGTGTACCGGCGACGAGCCGCAACGCACGCTATGCGCAATTGCGCGATCTCGGCGGTCCACCAGTACACCTGGCGCCTTGCGGACCGTTGGTGGACACGGGGCATGGACGCGTCGCAGATCTGCGTCATCGCCCCGCGAAACCATAGCGCCACCGCTTCGACGTCGACGGGGCCGTCCGTCGTCGACTCCCGAATCCAGGACTGGACTAGGGCAGCTTCTTCGAGTAGTTCCCTGTCGATGCGCTTAAGCGCCCAACGCGGGCCGTCGTTAATCGGGGTTGTTGGATGGCGGCCGCTCGCAGTCTGGGCAGAGACGTCGAACCGGATATACCGATGGTCCGACAGCGTCTCCACCCCTGCGGCGACACGCCAGTCGCGGACTCGGCTGGCGACAGAGGGGCTAGCAAACGAGACGTCCACTATCGACCCACCCCGCTGCCGCACGCACGTGTATTCCGAACCCCGATTCAGGACGACCAGACCAGTCGTCACCGTCCACTCTTCTAACACCTCGCCCCGAGGGTCAGTGACCGGAGATCCCACGCCGATGACTTGGCGTTGAGATCCCCGAGCACCAGAACGGGACGAGGGTGATAGCGGCCTACGACGGCGCCCAACTCGACAAGGAAACCCTCAAAGTCGGCGAGACTCTTGTTGGGGGAGAAATACGCCCCTACAATAACGATGCCGCCCGAGACCGCAGCAACCCAGCCGCGGCCCCGAGACGGGTCGATCAGTTTCACGAATAATGGCCACCAAACCGTCAGCGCATCCCAACCAGTTGTCACGGGCGGGAATGAAGTACGGTTCGGCGACCACAGCCACGTCAATCGACCACTCTGCCATGCTCTGGAGTAGGAGATCCTGAGCTCTGGCACAGTGGTTGATGTTGCCCTGGAGAAAATGGAGAGAATTGAATTGTGCCATTATTGACATTCCATTCCCTCGGCAACGGTCCTGGGCCGGGAGTCGGCCGCGGAGCTGCTAGCCTGTGAGGGCAGGGAGGTTAACCCGGCAGGCTTAGTGCTCCTCTTCTTTTCCTTTTTCTTTTTCTTGCTGGTAGGCGCCCCACAAGCCCCTCCGCCTACTCTGTGCTCCGCTGGCCTTCCCGCAGCGGAACAAAGGCTGCAGTTGAGCGCCGCGGAGCACAGGGCAGCCTTGTGGCCAGGCTGGCCGCAGCGATAACAGAGGTCACTACGGTCAACCTCGGCGGTGCACTTCGCCCGGACGTGCCCTTTTTCCAGGCACCGAAAGCACTGCAAAGCCCGGGGCTGTAAGAGCTTGGTCCTTGCCGCCACCCAGCCTACCAGCAATCTGCCGCTATCGGCGATCTTCTTCGCCGACGCTACAGGGCACCGAACCCAGACCGCGCCGAGTCCGGTGGCGTCGGTGCGTATATCGCCAGCCCGCACCTTGTCCGGCGGACACTCTCCGCTTCTGGCAACGGCCGGCACCACCTCCTCTGAGGTCACGGAGTCGTCCAGGCCAGCAATCCGCACCTCTGCGGTTTTCATTGGCCTGGAGACCCGGACGTCCTCTGGGTTGAGGACCTCCCTCATCTTGGCGGCCAGTGCGTCCGCCTTTTCGGCACTGCCGCTCACAGTGCCAGCCACCTCGAACAGTCGTGCACCCGTGGCAGCCTGCCTGAGGGTGACGGACTGAAGGCCAAGATCAGATAATTTGATCTTGGCCTTGGCCTCGGCGATGACCGACTGGTACGTCACGCCACGCTCCACAGCTCCAGGCTGCAACGTTATTGTCACAGCGTTGGACCGCGGAACATGTACAGCCGGTCTCTTGCGACCGCCTTTGGCAGTCCGCTGTGCAGGTTTAGGAGCCGTCTTTGCGGTTCCCCCTGGGGCGCATGCGGCTGCTGCGGCCTTCTTGGCGGCTTTGCGGGCCTTCTTGCGGCCCACGACTTTCGCCCAGGTCTCACCCTTAGACCCGGCAGTCGTGGGCTGGTTGCTCCGAGGAGCTCCCTCCGCGGTCTTTTTGTTACCCTCCGCGGGCTTCCCCTTTTGAGGCGCAAGTCTCGGCGGCTCCTCAGTCCTCCGCGTGTCAGCCGCTAAAGGCGGACGGAAGATTTCCACCGGGAGACGCCGAGAAATTGCCTCCAGCCGAGCGTTAACCATGCTCCCGCACTGGAGCATGCAGAGCCGGACAATGCGCTCGACCTCTTCGTCGGTACGAGGGCTTGCCGGTCGCAGTGCGGGAGTCGGGTCCACTACAGGTGCGGCATCGCTGGACGTGCGTTGCTGCTGCTGCTCGCTTAGCGCAGCAACTTGCCGCCGGAGGTCCTCCAAGTCATTTCTGAGGCAGCTGTTTTCCTCCTGTAACTTTGCGACCTCGTCAGAGGCTGTCCTGTTGAGGAGAATGCCAACCGCCTCCCTGATATCCGCGGCAGCCTCCTTTAAGCCACGGGTGAACGTGCCCTTCAGGCTGCCGGACTTGGTGGCAACCTTCAGGACTAAGTCCACCCCATCCAGAGCCAGCTGGCTTAAGGCCACCGCAGATGGCTCTCCCCCTTCCGCCGCAAGAGCAGCTCGTCGCTCGCGAGCACGTCGGGCCATTTCCGACACTTCGTCGGCCGCGACGGCTTTGCGCTGCTCCCTCTTGGCGGCATTGAGCTCCGCCTTTGAGCTCCCCAGCGAGGCACAGCTTTCACCGCCATCGCCAGGGTCCTCCGTAGTGAACCCCATGTCACTATCTGCTTCGCTAGCCGCCGAGGTATTGGAGCACACGAACCATCCGTGCTTATCCCTCCGCGGCTGCGAAGTACTCGCCCCTCTCGATGCCTGCCAACCCCTCCCCGAAGTCGGCAACTTGGGGGCCGGCAGGCCTTCCTCGTCTGACGATCGGCACACTGGACGTTTCCTAGCGGAAGACGTCCCACGCGATCGATTTCCGCCGCTACCAGTATCTGAGAAGTTTTCTCCCTCGCACAACTTCCTTGTGGAATCAATTACCACCAGCGAATTTTCCGGACCGATACGACTTAGGAACCTTCAAGAAAAGAGCTTACACCTTTCTAAATGGCCGGCAACGCATCTGTAATTCCCCTGGTGTTGCGGTTGTTCATGGGCGGCGGTAGTCACTTACCATCAGGTGAGCCGCATGATCGTTTGCCCCCTCTTCTATAAAAAAAAATAAATAAAATAATAAACGTTGATTAAGTTGCTGACCACATATTGCTATTGTTATTAGGCCGACAAAATCATATTATGATGTCGAAACAACTTTATAGCTGACTAGCTGTTCCCCGCGACTTCGCTCGCGTGTTACGGTTTTTATGTTTTTGCGCGGAACCCTAATTCTTTTTCTAAAATAAAAGTAGCCTAAGTTACTCCTTATGAAATCGGCTATCTGTCCGTGAAAGCCCCGTCAAAATCGGTCCAGCCGTTTCGGAGATTACCCGGAACAAACAGACAGACAGACAGACAGACAGACAGACAGACAGACAAAATTTTTAAAAATTGTATTTTAGTTATAAGTACCGTATTTACTTTCATATGCATATAGTAAAAAACTGTAATTTTGATATTACAAACAGACACTTCAATTTTATTTGTATAATATATTTTTCTTGCTGACCGAATATAAAAAAAGAATGTATTACTTGCCACTAATTTATTGTTTCAAAAACAAAGTTTTATTTTATTTTGGCTTGTTTAAAGCTCTATGAACACCGGTTCGTAAAAACAAAATATTATTAGACGAACCGGCAAAAAATTTTACTTTTGTTAAATACAATGGAAAACTGGCCTACAATGGTAAAGTTCGATGTCCTACTTTAAATCACGGTGATAGCCTTGAAGCCGAACTTCGATAGCGGAAGTAAACAACTGCGCAGGTGATATTATAGCACATGAGTAAAGAAACCGTACCGTACAGAGGCAAATCTTCATACAACCACGCTATGATAGGTACACCACTAAGCTAGAGGCACGAGTGAGCGTGAGCATTGGTGGTTCGTCATGTACCTCTGTACATAGAAACTGCTTTAAACCGGCTCGGCCAGTGCTCAAAGTCAGGGTTGTGTAAAAAATAATAATTGTCAAATATAGTTTTTTTTAAAGAATAATTCGTATCAAATTAAATATAAAAAAGTGTAAATGTGGTTACTAATACGTTGCCGCAAGAGGTTGTGTATTTCTGTATTTGACAGCTCCTTAGAAGCTTTGCCTCTGTACAGTTTCTTTGCTCATGTGATTATATCACTTGATTATAGTGCCGTAAGTTTACTGGACAAAATAGACTGCGATGCCTACTCTTCTTAACTGTACTAATGATGATTGTCACGCCGAGCACGTTCTTATGCCAACTACACGTTTGACAAGTGCCAACTATGTCAAAATCCCCCTATGAGGAAATCCTTAGGCTCTTTTCTTGAAGGCCTTAAGACAGGGGTTCCCAAACTTTTTCAGTTTGCGGCGCACTTATGGGTTTAGTATTTTGCGTACAGCGTACCTTGTGCGGCTTGGCGCACTCCGGGTGCTTGGCGTGGTAGATGCAGAAGTACTTGCGGTGCGGGTTGAGCGCCAGCACCGTGCCCACGCAGTTGCGCGCGTTCACGCGCAGCTCGCCGCCGCCCAGCGACAGCTGCAGCACGCGCCGGAACCACTCCACGTTGCGCTCCACGCACAGGTACGCGAACACCAGCGTCTTGTTCCTGTGGGCAACGACACGGCTCTCACTACGTTGGACGCTACATCATCATCACTGCTGCACGTGTATTATCGGTTCAAGAAGTTCCTACTGTGGGAGACCTTGTAAGACGTAGGGACCGTTGGTCTCAATATATAATGCTTGCCACGCTTGGCAGACAGATATGCACTTGCGACTACTGTTGCAGTGGATTCGAACACAGCGGCAGGAGTATTATTGTGCCCGCGTTATCAACTGAGTCGTTGGACAATAAATCATTGTAATCAGTCTATCTCGCTCGCACTCATTGTGCTTATGCAGCGTCATAATGATGTGCGTAACAGCAGGTAGTCGATATCGATAACATTTAATGAATGGATATTTTAAGGTTTGAAATTATGAAATAATAAAATAACACAATAAAATAAATAAAATATAATTGACATTTATAAATATTAGGTCCTTACACATGAAAGTGACGTCTTGTACGGGAGGAATATAAAGTCAATTTTTTTTGTAAAATATATTTAATCAAAGTAAGCACCGTTGTTATCTATGCACTTTTGCCATCTCATAGGTAGTTCATTGATCCCTTTACTAAAAAAACCATGGAGGCGAGAATCAATAAACTCTGAAAGCGGTTTGGACTGCCGCATCGGAGTTGAATTTTTTTCCTTGTAAGAAGTTGTCCAAATTCCCATTGACATTCCAATTGTAGCTCATCAAACTTAGTGGTTGTTTGTTGTGCAGTGTGTGGTCTCGCGTTGTCGTGAAGCAGCAGTGGCCTAGAGCGATTGACCAATCTCGGTTGTTTAGCAGCTAGTTCTTCCTTTATGGTTTGCAGTTACTGGCAATAGATATCTGCCGTAATCGTTTGGCCAGATCTTAGAAAGCTATAGTGAACGACACCGGCGTTAGTCCACCAAACTCTCACAAGTAACTTTTTCTGTTTTAGGGCAGGATTTAGCTGGGTCTCCAGGGTTCAGCCATTGCGACGAGCTCTTCCGATTATCGTACAGTATCCACTTTTCATCACAAGTAATGATTCGATTTAAAATCCCTTCATTATTGTATCGGTTGAGCAAAGTAACACAGCAGTCGACGCGTGTTTGCAAGTTCGATTCACTCAATTCATGAGGTACCCCATCGTTCAAGTTTTTTTACTTTCCCAATTTGCTTCAAGTGGATTAATACAGTTTTATCACTTACCCCGAAGCCTGTAGCTATCTCTGAAGTGCTTTGTGATGGATCCGCTTCCACAATAGCTTTTAATTCTTCATTTTTCACTTTGGTTGGTTGGTTCTGAAGGTCGAAATTTCCAGAACGAAAACATTGAAACAAAAAACGTACCGTGCTTTCTTTTGCGACACCAGCGCCGTACACATCATTAATCTTTCGATCTGTTTCTGCAGCACTGGTGCCACGGTAGAACTCGTACTCGTAAATATACCGATATTTCATATTTTCCATTGTGCGGTAATAAGCGATGCGAAAGAAAAAAATAATGAGTACAAAAGAAATGAATGTCTGTTTTCAAAACTCAAATGTACCAGATAAATGAATTTATAAATTTGAATTTGGAATTCTTAACCAAAGAGGAGATAATTCAGTTAAAAGTGGTCAGTACGACAAAACGCTAATTTCATATATAAGGACCTAATATATTATTATATTACAAATTATTTTCTTCATCCAAGTAATCTGTATCACTACTGTCTTCCTGTAGATTTATAATCAAAGTTTCAACTTGATCTCTCAAAAAAGCTTTTTTCAAATCCGTTTCCTGGAGGTCTTTTTTTTTTTATAGAATAAAGGTGACAATCGAGCACACAATCAACCTGATGGTAAGTGGTTACTGCGGCCCATAGACATCTACATCTATCTTCGTTTGCGAATTAAAATGCAGATGCGTTGTCAGCCGTGAGGACAAAAAGATAGAATGCCTCTTTAAAAAAGTTTTCTCTGGTTACGTTTTCTAATGCTAAAAGCATAAAAGTATGGTTTTGCGCTGCAATTTCTCCTTTTACCTGATCCTATATGAGCTCAATAGGATTATAATGACAATGATATGGTGGCAGTCGTATCACTTCATGACCATGTTCATTTGCCAGCTGCTATTTAATAACCTTTTTAGGCCTCTCTTTAACTTTTCGTAGCAGTTCTCCTTTTATTTCATCATTTGTAAATGCGATGTTGTTTTTTGTTAACCACTCTTGAATGTCTTTCTTTTTTGTAGCAGATATTGGTATTCTTTCCATTTCCAATAGAGTGATATCTGGCGTTATCGATGGTAATTACTGAAGGTTCTTCTAAGACGTGCAAAAATCAATAATCCATTCCTTGTAAGTTTCGCTATACATTTCAGTATGATTAGTCATCCTTAGACTTTACGGCCCTGAATATCAATTTTGTCTCAGGTACAAAAGCAGTCTGCAGAACCGGCGTGACAAACAATCAGTCTCTGTCCTTTTCCCACTGGTTGGTTTTTAACACCACGTATATCATTTTCTCCAAGCTACATACGTTTTCTGGAATGGTTTTGATTCACCTAAGGCTCGTCAAGGTTAAATCGTGGCTGTCTTTTGTTTTATTTAAGGCGTCTAATTTTCTTAATAAATCCATTCTAGCACAAACAATATCACTTCTTTCCATTAAATATTTCCGCTCTTTCGCATTACTCCCAAATTTATGTCCAATATCTTTTAATATTTTCCTCATGGAAGTTTGCCCGCATTTAAAATCGGGCATCAATTCAGAGTATTTAGCACAGATTTTGGCCACACATGAATACTCGCCGTTATCACCCATAGTAGATACAGTGCGTTTTAGCACAATTATATCAAAATTATCAACTTTGGTAACTGTAGTTGATTTTTTAAATTTTTTTTTGGATTGGCTGCGCTGTCGGATTGCGATATTTCCGTATTTATTCGATGACTGTCACTATGCTAACACCACAAATAAAATTAAGCTGGGATATTTTTTCGGCATCACTTTTCAATTCATTTAAAAACAAAAATATATTGTGAACTAGCTGTTCCCCGCGACTTCGCTCGCGTGTTAGGGTTTTTTATGATTTTGCACGGAACCCTAATTCTTTTTCTAAAATAAAAGTAGCCTAAGTTACTCCTTATGAAATCAGCTATCTGCCAGTGAAAATCCCGTCAAAATCGGTCCAACCGTTTCGGAGATAACAACACAGAACAAACAGACTGTCTAGGCAGGAAAATTTGCAATAAAAACGCAGGATTTAACGCGCGCTTTTGGCCTCGATATCAAGGGCACCTTCCCTCTCCCCCGCCCCCCCGGCCGCCGCAACGAGTCGGTGTGGCTCTTCTCGCGAGGTAGTAGGATTTTTCTTGCGAACTATACGGACGTATTTTTTCGCGCCTAAACTTGCTAAAGAAACAATCCGCGTAAATCGTTGCAATAACGGTATCGTTATTAGAACGTACTAACTCGGTGAAATTCGCGCGCAACTATCAAAGTGATTTACATCTGAAGGACTACCAGAGTAGCCGTCCCATTTGGTGACAACCCCTTACGAGTGCCTCCAGAAGGGTGAAGTTCCGGGGATACCAGCGCGTGCCTTCTCCCGGACGTCGTCGAGTCATCCAGATCGGTTCCCGTCAACATACCAGCTCACACAATTACACCTACACTCACAACACCGCATACACCAAGCACAACTTCCATCAGCCGGGCCGGTCTAGGAGAACCGTCTGCGCTCCTGAGGCAGGTAAGTGCATTTCTTCTAGTGACCTTTCCCCTCGCGTGTTCATTAGAAACCTTTGACCCTCGGCGTAGGAACGCCCGACCTGCATCTGCCCGTGGCTCCTTCGTCTATGGGCCGCGAAGGATCCAACTCCTGTTTAGGCAGGGCAGCTGTTGGCCGTAACAATTGGTAGCAGAACGCGGTGCTGGGATCGATTCCCGGTCGATCCACCGACCATAGTATTGGATAAAAATTAAATAATTTGGTGGCAGGAGCGTTGGGTGGATTTGTGGCTACAATCACGCCCGTCCGTAATACGTAAAATACCTTTTTATTATTATACGTAATAATAAAATTCCTTCCTTTGTTAGCTTGCTTTACTGTTAGCGGGTAAAATTGAAAGGTCACACCCGGTTCGCGCGCAAGCGGGAGATTGCGTCATGTAGGTAGATGGTTATTTTTACGTAATCGGTTAATTGTCGTTGTCGGATGGTAGTGTGTTACTTATCGAAGGGTTGATTTCCGAGCAAGGCATTTTTGTTGATGTGTATCTTCGTTACATATCTTTCGTATTGTAAATTGTATTTGAACTAAAGAGTGGTAATTTGTATTTACGTAATTTAAATGAACTTGATTTGATCGTACTAGTATTTGTTATTGTTGATTTGATTTACCTTTTCCTTTGTACTAACTTGTGTTTGATTTAATAATAGCTGTTCTTATTTGTGTACATTCTATCCAACTCGATTTGATAGGAACTGCATTAGTTAGCTGTTAATTTTTTTGTATTTTTTATTTGTTATTGTTGTAATTGTGCTCGAGCCGCGTCGTAATTTGAATTTAGTAGTGATGTCCTCGCCCAAGATGCTAATCCGTTGCCTGCGGACTGAGCTGCGCTGGGCTACCAGCGCACACGCGTTGATAGGCCGACCGGACAGGGTCTACAATCTGAGGAAGAGGCTTGAGCAGGTCGATGCTCGAAGGGCGGCCGTGGAGGAGGCTTACTCTGAGCTCGAGGACTTGGAGGTGGAAAAGGGAGTCCTGGAATCTTGCCGCGCGGACTACGAGCAGTTCCTCGCGCTGACGGACGACCTGATCGAGGCGGGGGCCAAGGATGCGGAGAGGGAGCGCGAAGCTCGGCTGAGTAGCCTTCTCGAGTCCCCGCGGAAGCCGTCTGCTCAGCCAGAGCTGCTAGGACGACTTCCGACGCTGGACCTGCCAAGGTTCTCCGGGGTCCTCTCGGAGTGGATGACCTTCGTCGGCCTGTTTGACAGCCTGGTGGACGCCCGGAGGGACCTGACCCCCTGCCA